TTTACTCAAAATTGACTAATGTTCACTTATACCCCTTTACTTTTACGGTCCTCAATTAATAGCTTGAAAATACCTATAAAGTGCCGTAAGTAACAATAGCAGGATTTTGAGAAAACTCGACATGAAGTTGAGAAAGATGCTGTAATTTTGAATATTTTAGTTATTAATTGTTTATTCTTTAAGTACATTTATGTTAAACACAAATAAAAATTGATGGATTCGATCAGAAAGGCAATCAGCCGAAACAGCTGTAGTGATAAGAAGTTAAAATAAATTTTGTAGAAGTTTGAAAACAAAGTTTTCAGTATTTTATTATTACAAATAAAAATTTTTATTCTATAATTCTACTATAGTTCTAATATAACTCTGGGGTTGTACCAAAGCTAGTAATCTACATATTATCCAGAGATTTCAAAACAAAGTACTGGAAAACATTGTTAATGCTCCTTGGTATATCCGTAACAGCAACCTCCACCAGGATCTGGGTATGGAAACTGTGATCGAAATAATCAAGAGAACAAAAGCAAGTCACGAGCAGAGGCTGCATAGTCATGTGAATGTCGAGGCAATCCAGCTTCTTGACAACACTGAACTAAAGAGAAGACTTACAAGGACAAAACCATTTGAGTTAGTGCGAATGTGTAACAGTTTAGTGTAAAAAGCAGAGTATAGTGCTGTGAAGTTACAGCATATTAGTTGTAGTGCATTAGTTGATACATAAATAAGAGTAAGCCATAGGGTAAGCCCTTAGAGTTAAGTATTTGCTGTTTATTAAATTAGGTCAGAAAATAAGTGATAATTGGTCATTTGTGACCAGATAAAACACCGCACAGGTGTTAATAAAAAAAATTATTCTATAATTCTAATTTTTAATGCAAAAAAAAGTTGAAAATATAAAATGGTGTCGTACATACGCCACTCTTCCTTAGTAATGTGAATGGCTATATTTGCGGTATGTATTGCTTTACATTTTTATTAATGTAAGAAACATAAACTTAATATACAGTATTAGGAATGGATTAACTTAACATATTTTCTTAGAAATATAACCAATACTTTTACATAAGTAGAAGGAATATCACAATAGGTCCGGTCTTTTGGCTGAGATGTTTGTAGGCAAGTCTTTCCAAAATTGTTTTCAATTTTCTGGCAGTACTTCGTTTAATGACTGAAAGATATTTTTCTTATCTTCTGGAAATCCACATGGTGCAGTGTGATGGCTGGGCAGTTTAATCCCATTAATTGATTTTTTTTGTTTAAAGTCCAGTTGTTGGTAGGAGCACATTACATCATAGTTTGTCTTGCACAACAAATAATAACTGCCTCGTTCAGCTTTAATATTAACTATGTCACTTAAATACAAACGTGATGATAATTTTATCTTTTGTTGGGATACGAAATTGGGCCAGTGGTAGAAATCAAAATGTTTCATTTTGTATACATTCACATTTTCAGATTTGGATTTTTTCATTGCATTAACAACGGCTTCAAAATCATGAGATTTCTTTTATGCCTTTAATGATTGTTTTACTTGATGGTGAAAACTGTCTGAACTCATGAATGAACAACCAGTTTGGAAATAGTTTAAAACTGTTTCATTAGCTGCAATGTCATCATAGTATATTAAATACACTAAAAATATGTAAAGGCACCAGTTTTTGTTTAGGAAAGAGCAGTTGTCTAACCAAAGAACAATTTTTTCAATATCTCTCTGTTGTCTTAAAAACATGTACAACGCACTAACATTATCTTTATTATTGCGGCCTGAAATTCCTTTATGCCACAAAATGAAGTGAGCTTTTGTTTTACTTTTTCTTCCTACAGGTGCAAAGGTTTTATGATAGGCTACTAAACGCTTTACAAATAATACTTTCTTGAACACTTTCACTCTTGGCAACATGATAACCTTCTGCATGTCACTTGAAAAACATATTGCATTATTTAATCTTTCCTGTCCAGAAAAGCTTTTATATGCGTTTTTAGCTTCTATAACTAATGCGTTATGAACTTTCCATTGTTTACATATATCTCACGATATGTGGAGATTCTCTTTTTTGTGGGCATGAAGAGTAAACTGCTCACATTTTCGCACCCCTCATATAGATTGATATATGTTGTTCTTAAAGGATTCGCCTGTATAAATCATATAATGATTGATAAGTGCTACATTAAGTGTAGTACTACATCACCAAAGTGGCGTGGCACGTGGCACGTAGCAAGTAGCACGCGTCTAGCATGTTACTTAAAATGTAACCAATGGAAACGAATGATTCAGCGCCCACCAAAATGACAGTGACGTCATTCAATCTAATAATTCGTTTGCATTGGTTATATTTTATGTAACATGCTAGAAGCGTGCTACTTGCTACGTGCCACGTGCCACGCTACTTCGGTGGGCGCTCTCCCTAAGGGCGAGCGCCCACCAAAGTGGCGTGGCAAGTAGCACGTAGCAAGTAACACGCGTCTAGCATGTTTCTTAAAATGTAACCAATGAAAACAAATGATTAGAATGAATGACGTCACTGTCATTTTGGTGTACGCTGAATCATTCGTTTTTATTGGTTACATTTTAAGAAACATGCTAGACGCGTGCTACTTGCCACTTGCTACGTGCCACGCCACTTTGGTGGGCGCTCTCACTAAGGGAGAGCGCCCACCAATGTGGCGTGGCAGTGGCAAGTAGCAAGTAGCACGCGTCTAGCATAATGTAACCAATGAAAACGAATGATTCAGCGCTCACCAAAATGAGAGTGACGTCATTCATTCTAATAACTTATTTTCATTGGTTACATTTAAAAATAACATGCTAGATGCGTGCTACTTGCTACTTGCCACTGCCACGCCAGTTTGGTGGGCGCTCTCACTAAGTGAGAGCGCCCACCAAAGTGGCGTGGCACGTGGCACGTAGCAAGTAGCACGCATCTAGCATGTTACTTAAAATGTAACCAATGAAAACGAATGATTCAGCGCACACCAAAATGACAGTGACGTCATTCGATCTAATAATTCGTTTGCATTGGTTATATCTTATGTAACATACTAGACGCGTGCTACTTGCTACGTGTCACGTGCCACGCCACTTTGGTGGGCGCTCTCCCTAACATCACCTGAAAGGTAACGAACATTTGGAGCATGTTCTCGTTTGTAATGGAAAGCGTGGGATAAAATTATTCGATGTGTTCGATAATTAAGTGATGGGGTTCTTTAGTTTTTGATGCCTATCTTCGTCTCGTATCAGTAGGTGAAGTTAAAGCACCTTTAGGAGTATTTGTGAGTGTATAATGCACAATTCTGTCATTATTTTTCATAAAGCCTAATGTGGTGAGGAAAAAACTCTTACAAACCTCTTGTGTGGCGTCATAGCAATCTTTTAGTTTGTATTGAATAGATAGTAATCGTCTTTCTGTTTCAGTGTCTTTATTTCTACTTCGTTTAACATCAACCTTATGACATGACGTCACTAAAATGTCTACGTTCAGACCACGTCATTTCCCAAAACTTTTTGTTTATAAACTCTCTTCGTTCTGCAATAATTTTCTGTCCACACTTTTTTTTTTGCAAAATGCATTAGCCATTTTACACGGTATGTGTTTTACTGCATGAGATATTTTCATTTCTTTAATTTTAAGTTTTTTTTCTTTCTTACAGACTGGTTTCAAACCTTTTTGTTTTCTTTGTGATAGGGGTTAATTGATTTTCTCTGATAATATTGTCAATATATTGGTCTGCATTGTCATTACAATATACATTCGTTAGTTTACTTTTTTCATATGCAGTTATCAGAAAATCAACACTATCAGCTGGAACACGTAAATTTTCTTCCAAGTTTATATTATCATTGTTTGGTTGGACCACATTTGTAAATAGATTTTCAAATAGTACTTCAGGTATATCTATAACTGGTAGGTTAGTATGTGATTCTAAATAACCAGATTTATCAACATCAAATTCTTCCAGTGGACGTGATATGAGTGTATTTTCACTAAGGGCATAAATTAATATATTATGGTTGTCTATTGCGTTATATTGTCGGGTAATCTCAGATTTCCAACATCATCTGACAACGTTATAGTGCAGCTAGATAGTTAAGGTTCTTTATTAGCTTCTAATAAATCACTGGAAGGACATTTTGTAGGTAAAATTTTTAGCAAACTCATATGTTACAAACATTTACAGTCAACATAAATATAATGCAATTTTTATATCAGCTGTTTAAATAACCACTAAGCAAGACTGCAGTAAGTACAGTGTACTAAGTATAAATGCAGTATGTACAAAGGACTTACTGCATTATTGGTTAGTCTATTGTATTTACGGCAGACTTGTTTATTATTTTAAAACTTTTAATACACTTACTGGAAAAAAATTATTTTATATCACGATCACTGTTGGACATATGGCAATTTTGTGAAACCCATTGAATTCTGCATGGTTGAAAATATAGGAAACCATATATAACTCAATATTGAATATTTTTGGACTTACGGCACTTTTCCTTAGTTGGCAGTATAGGGGGAAAATAAAAAAAAATTAAAAAACAAAAACATTTATAGTTTTTTCAATAACAGTGATATCATAAGTTAATGACGGTAATACCATCGTAAAATTAATAATTTGTTGATTATTTTTCTAAACACCTATTTTGTATTAAATAGTGGAGCAGTACGTTTTTAAAACAGTTCTATAACTACTAAAATTATTTGTTTTATTTATGAAAAAATAAATATAGACATAAAGTGATATAAATTTTACATATTTTGGTAAAAATGTTTGTTTCCTTAATTTTTTTTTGCATATTTGCTCATATAGAACTTACTGACTCTACCTGACTCTACCTCTAGCAGTGCCCTTTACGACAAAAAAAGAAAAAAATAAAACTAAATCTTAAAATATTATTGGATCGCTTAAATGTAAAATGTATTTTACATAAAATTTGGCTGATTCTACGTTGGACTCTTTGGCAATAAACTAGTCGAAATAATGTAGTTGCAACATCTTACCTGAAAGGATGTAGTGACTGCAGATATGAGGTCGTAAAAATACAACCAAGGCTCTCCGTTCTCAGGTCTAAAGGGCGTAAGAAGAAAATTAAGTCCTAACAGTGGTACTAGCAATAGCGTTGCTCTGGAACAAAAACACATAATGTAAAATAAGCTTTAATATGATTGACATTTTATTTAATATAATATTTAAAAGGGAAACAATAATTTAAATTAATTTTCTATAAGATAATAATGTAGAACAATGTTCTGCAAAACTAAGTTGTTGCTCGAGGGCAGGGGAGGCCAACCCGTCGATCGCGATCGACCAATCGATCGCGACCCCTAGGTCAGTCGATCCCGGACAAGGAAAAAATTATCGGTATAATATACCCACCTATTTGTATCCTAAATATTACGAAAATTATTGGAGTGCTAGCAATCTTGCATCGATCATCGTGAGCGACTCAAAATATTTTTTTCCAATCTAATATAATTGGAAAAATAAATAAATAAGAATTCATACTTTTGTTTTATTTAGCTATTACTAATACACACTGACGAGCCATAAAACTAATTATTCCAGAATTTTAGCGCTCAGTGCCGAATCGGTTTCAGATTAAAAATTCTTCCATATTTGGAAAGCTGATAAAATTGTCTTTCAGAATTAGATAGAATAAAATAAACAACACATTTTTTGACCACAAATACCAACACGAATATACATTTAATAACACCTGTGGACAAATATCTATAATAGAATATGTTATAACCAACAGATATTTACATCCATCGAAAATAATTGACGTAAGATGCCTCAATTCAGTAGATGTAGGTAGCGACCATAGCCTAGTATTATGTAAAATAAGAATTATCCTGAAATACTTCACACTCAAGAGAGCGGCGACAACACAAACAAAAATCAAAGTCAAAGGAATAAATACGAAGTTCACGGAATACTTATACAGAAAAAGAATATTAGAAAAGATAGCTGGAAATGAAATATTAGAAAACGATAACATCGAGGAAAGTTGGGGAAACTCAAAAATGACACAATTAACGCAGCAACAGAATCACTTGGAGAGAGAAAAGTATCAAACACTAACATATCAAAAAAGAAAACACCATGGTTTAGGGATAAAGTAAAGACAAAATGTGAAGAAAAGAAGAAAGCCTTTTTACAATACAGAACACAACAAATACAATCGGTATATAACCACTATCAACGAATCAGAAATAAAACGAATACTAGAGTTAGACAAATAAAAACGGAACACTGGCAGAGCTTCTCAAAAAAAAGATGGAACAAGACTTCTACAAAACACCAAAAGAAATATGGAGAATGATCAGAGGACAAACAAAAGAGAAAGAGAGAAACGAACTAATAAAAATGAAACACATCCTGAAGGAAACATCGCCAGACTACTTTTGACCACCGTTTGCTAAATATGACGATAATGAACCACCAACACTAGAGGTGACGATAAACAAAGACATAAATATTGAGGAAGAAAATGTATAGGAAGCAATAAGGAGATTAAAAAATAAAAAATAACTAGGAGAGGATAGAATACCGAATTCCTAATGTACGGAGGACCAGATCCAATCAAGCAAGTAATAAAACTAATTCAAAAACTAATAGAAAAAAAAAACAGAATTCCTCAAGAATGGAGATTAAGCATTCTAATACCTCTATTCAAAAAGGGAGATAAATCTAACCCAGAAAATTACAGAGGAATTAAATTATTAAACATAATACTAAAATTAACAACCAAAGTGACAAACTGAATGAAATTATAACACTAGCAGAAGAACAACAGGGTTTGAGGTCGGAAAGATCATGAACCGACGCTATATTTATAATGAGGCAAGTGCAAGAGAAATCATTAGAATACAACAAAACAAGCATATCTATGTTTCATGGACCTTAAGAAAGCATTTGACGGGTTCAAATTAAAGGACGTTATCCACTTATTATTAGAAAGATAGGCGCAGCAAACTGGCAACGGTTGGCAATGGATAGGACTGCCTGGCGTAATAGACTTGGGAAGGTCGAGGCTCTTTCATAGGGCTGTAGTACCATTGATGATGATGATCCACTTATTATACGCAAGAGAGATGCCACTAGGAATAATCAAAACGATTGAAAATATCTACCAAAATAACACTATAAAAGTGAAAGTGGAAGAAGAAATAAATAATAAAAAAGGATACCAACTGGGAGAAAAACAACTTAAAATAATTTGCTATGCAGACGACGGAATACTACTCTCTTAAAGTGAAGACGATTTACAAAGTATGCTGCACCAATTTAATATAACCGCCAGAAAATTTAACATGTTAATTTTCTCAAAAAATTCAGAATGCATGGTTACAACAACAAATTTGCTAAGATGTAAATTGGACCTGGAAGGTCAAATAATAGAACAAATGCTGCAGTTTAAATACCTAGGCATCACATTATCTTGCTACCGAAAGCTCGAAGCTGAAGTGGAAGATCAAGTGAATAGAGCAAACAGAGCCGCAGGCTGCCTGAATGAAACAATATGGAGAAATAAAAATATCGGGAAAGAAATGAGAGGCAGAATTTACAAAACAGTCAACAGACCAATAATGATATACGCGGCAAGAGCACGACCTGACACAGAGAGGACAAAAATGATGTTAGAAAGAGCTGAGATGAAAAAACTTAAAAAAATTAATAGCAAGACCCTATGGGACTGAGCTAGAAGTACAGATATACCACGTAGATGCAAGGTGGAGAACATCAAGAACTGGGTAAAAAATAGAAGAGGTAAATGGAACGATCATATAAGCCAAATGACAGCAAATAGAGTAGTAAAGACGACAAGAGACGGTTCCCCAATAGAAAGACGATCAGTAGGAAGGCCACGAAAACAATAAAACGACAACTTATTCGAGGGGCATTGAAAAATAGACAGTCATGTCTACATAAAAATAAGAGGAAGAAGAGAATCAGTGACTGATTTTGAGATATAGCGAGCGACTTTGATATATTCAGCTCACTTTTAACATTAAAATTCTGGATTAAAAGATTTATTGCTCAACAGTATCGTTAAAAAAAAAGAAGAGGTTAATCTTTGTAAATGGGTATATTTATTTAAAAAACCCTTAAAAGGGCCACATCAATAAAACAAACGTTTTCGGACCACACAGTCCATCATCAGGTTTTTAAAATCGAAAAATGCCTAAAAATAAGTATAAACCATTTAGTTAAAACAAACGAGATTGTGAAATTTTGACTATGGTTGAAAAGCAAAAGATGGTTATACTTACTAGGTCACAATGCCTAAGCCACCAAAATACTAGGGTAAAAACCCTTTAAATAACATTTAGTTATGAAAGATTGTACATTGTGTTGTAAAATAACTGTGATGTTCAGTATTAAATTAAATTTGACTAGAGGTAACACATGGCTCAATCGGGTTCCAGAGCCGGTGAGAGAGAACCTCTACACTCGGAGAACAGCTGGGAACTGATTGACAAGATACTTTTAAAGGATGAAGATAACAGAATGTCCATGCAACCAAAAACTATAATAGTTGTACAAAGTATTACTACAGTCAAAAGATTCAACAAGTTTTGATGATTTTAAAAAATAACAACAGTCTAGGTGTTGGGATTTAAAAACTTTTTTATTTATTAATTTAGGGTATAAAAGATGTGAAATCAATGATGGTTTTATAGTCATGATTAATAGAATGACCTGTGCCTTAGGCAACTTATGTTGCTATTCGTCGTATGGAATGTGGTCTAAAGTGTATTTGATGTTGGGTTAGCTTATATATATATATATATATATATATATATATATATATATATATATATATATATATGAAATTTATCCTTTTATGTTTAACACATCTAGGACAAGGTAAAAATTAAATAACAAATATTTGAAGCTAATATCAGACCTCATATTTAAATGACTTTATTTAAGACTGCTCCTATGGTGAAAAATTAATAAAATTAAGTTTAGTAAGATGGAAATCTACAGGCTGAAGAAATTAAAGTAGTAACCTATGTAATTGAATTTAAAATTGAAGAGGCTGGGTTCTTCAGAGACTAATGAGAATAAAAGTAAAGGAAATGACTGAAGAAAAGGAGGGGGGGGCGGTTGAAGGAGAAAAGGAGTTAATCAACAATTAGAGATAATAGGGGTCCTTTATACTTAAAGTATCTAGCACCCTGAACAAAATCTATTTTGGTGGTATTAAATTCAGTTTGTAGAAACCTGAAATTTGTTGTATAAGTGTGCTACTAAGTTGTTGACCGAGAGAAGGTGGACAATGGTAGATAAGGATTCTTTGTAATATGGTAGATTATCATCATCATCATCAACTTGCCTCTAACGTCCACTGCTGAACATAGGCCTCTCGCATGCTCTTCCACTTAGTCCGATTTTGCGCCATCTGAATCCAATTTGTAGTCACTCTTTTTATGTCATCTGTCCATCTCGTTATGGGTCGACCTCTATTTCTGTATGCTTGTATTCGGGGTCTCCATTCCAAAATTCTTTTTGTCCACCGGTCATCAACTGATCTTGCTACATGACCTGCCCAGTTCCACTTTAGTGTTGTTATCCTTTCAATAACGTCTGCTACTCCTGATCTTTTGCGTATAGTAGCATTGAGTATTCTATCACGTAGAGAAATCCCTAACATAATTCTCTCCATTGCTCTTTCCGCAACTTGTAGTTTACTCACTGTTGTTCTTGTGAGCGTTAGGGTTTCTGCGCCGTAGGTCATCACTGGCAAAATACATTGATTAAATACTTTTCTTTTCAGACACATTGGAATCTTAGACCTAAAAATATCCTTCATCCTTCCAAATGCAGCCCAAGCGAGGTTTATTCTTCTTTTCAGCTCGATTGTTTGGTTGTCTCGACTTATTCTGATCTCATGGCCTAAGTATTTATAGGAGTCAACTGGCTCAATATCTTTGTCTTCTACTGAGATGTTTTTGTTGTGGACTAAATTTGTCATAAATTGTGTTTTTGAAAAATTTATTTTAAGACCAACTCTTTTTGTGGCAGTATGGAGTTCTTGGAGCATTACCTGTGCCTGATCAAAGCTGTCTGCAATAAGAACGATATCATCTGCAAATTTAAGGTTATTTAAAAAT